AGCGAGACCAGTGGAATGCGAGGGACAGCTGGAAGGAGCACGAGGAAGGAACGGCGAAGGCGTCCGACGAGAAGGAGAAGGAGGAAGTAGAGGATTAGATCGAGGGACATATGAGAGTTTTGAGCTACTACGGTGTCGAGAACTCGTTCACGTATTTCGCACATTACCACACAGGCAGATCGTGTGACACTCGCTTCGCAGGATGACGACAACGTCCAAGAGGATAATATTTTTGTCAGCGAATCCTCATCATCATCATCATCATCATCATCATCATCATCATCATCTAGGTCGTGTTCCGCACGCGGACACGTTTGCTTACAAGATCGTCTGGCATGTTGTCGTTGGCACCAACGAAAACTGCTGTGAGACGAGGATGCGTCTGTTCATCTGGATGTTGACTGATAGCCGAGAGGCGGCTTGGAAGATTAGATGTCCACCGACGTTGCGATGAACATCGTCAGATACAGTCCAAAGACTATCAGCTTGGTTCGGGTGCAGCTGCCGGACAAACCGGACTTAAGATCTTAAGTCCGGTTTGTCCGGCAGGGCAAGAAGAAACAGCGAAGCCGGGGAACCGACAAACAGGGGGGAAAGGGCAAGAGGGGGGGAGCCCAGACGGCGGACAAATTGGGAGGGCGATGAGTACGTCGCCCGACGGTTCAGCTATGAACTGGGCTCCAAGAAAAGAGTCCAATTCCTGCTGCAGTAGTGCCTGCTGGCATCTGGGGCGATCCCGGCATCTACCAACGCAAGGGCCGCTTTGCACACGCCGTCTGCGTCGGCATTGAACTCGCGCTGCACATGACACACTTCCACTGCGCCCGCGTCGGCCATAGACCGCAGCGTCGACGGAAACTCCAAACCTTGCTCGTAGGCTGCTTTCAGATCTCAGCGAGCGAAGAACGGTGTAAAATAAACTTTCCGCCGTCGGGGACACCTGCCTCTGGGCGGCTGGAAAGTTTATACCCCTACGGTGCCACCCTAAGGGCAGAAATTTTCCAGCCCCCCTGGGGCAGGTGTCCCCGACGGCGAAAAGTTTATTTTATACCGTTCTTCGCCCGTTAAAGATCGGCCGACAGGCACTGCCACTCACGAGGGAGCTGCCGCGCGACGAGCAGAGCGTCCACTTGGGACGGCACGCGCCGCGCTGGGTGCTGCAGCGCGTGGCGGGCTGCAAGGTGAAACCCAGCATATTCTACAGAATTGTTACAGTAGGGGTCTTGAAGAAGGAACCCTTTTCGTTGGGGAGGGGCTCGGCGTTCCTTGATTGTTTTACAGTTCGCCTTGGGTTTTCCCTAGGGTTTCCATGGGAAATCGAAGTTTACCTCATGGGAAACAGGGGCCTCGTTCCTTATTTAGGGTTCCTCAGGTCAACGCCCCGACTGTAGTGGCGTCCCCCAGAAAACTGCCGCGTGAGGCAACGACGCGCCGCGTGCCCGCCTGGTAACGCACGCAGCCGCAGGAGGAAGCGCGACCGCCCGCACCACCCACTCCTCCTCCTCCCCCTCCTCCCCCTCCTCCCCCTCCTCCCCCTCCTCCTCCTCCCTCCCCCTCCCTCGTCCCTCCTCCTCCTCCTCCTCCTCCTCCTCCTCCTCCTCCTCCGGCTGCGCCATCGGAGGCACAATTGGCCCGGCCCTCACGGACGGTGGACGGCTGGCGGGCGCGCGCGGCACGCCGTGCAGGCTTGTGACGTGCGTTGCCGAGCTGCCCGGCATCCACGGCTCGCCAGAGAGACCCAGACATGAGGGCGTCGTAAAAAAATCAGGACGGGAGGTTTTTCGCTATTTTCGACCCCTGGGGGCCCTCGCCGGGTCTCGGGACCGTCAAAAAACGACTCAGGACGAAAAACCGGCCCCAGGGAAAGGGTCTAGATTTCCAGGGGCGCCGTCCTGAAAAAATCAGGACGTCGCATGTCTGGGGACGGCGAGCGTGTGTAAGCACATCTCCCACGCAATGAGGCTCCCAACCCTGCAAGAGGAGGCGACGCAAACGAACCACTACGCTGCAGTGGGAGAGGATGCGCTGCAAGTGGCGCCCTCCAGTCGCATCTGTTTGCAGCCAGAGCGCGGCCACGCTAAGGGCAGCGTGGTCAGCGGAAAGCTGCTGGCGGAAAGCTCGCAGGACGGTGCTCACGTCCCTGTGTTGAACGCTGTCTGCAGATTGTCCGCGCAGAATAGGCACGGTCGAACTTCTTTGCCCAAGGGCAGCCGAAAGCCGCCGGGACGTGAGTTCCCCGTTGAGCAGCCTGCGCATCATCGCCGTCTGGTGCTCGCCCGGCACCGTAGACGGCATGTGCTGCAGGTTGCGCTCGACAGGACCCCAATCCAATCCGCGCGCCCGGAGCCGAGCGACCACGAGCGCACGAGCTAGCGGTCGCTCGCTGCTCAGGAGAGCTCTGTACAAGATCCGGCTCGCAGTGCGACCGTTGCCACGGCTAGGCGGCGTCTCGTGGAGAACATCAGTGACTGCGCGCCCCGTGGTGCGATGAAAAGCAAAGAAGCCTTGAGCGAAGAATGACAGGGGCCGCAATCCTCGCGCCTGTGCATCGCGCCCCCATCCTTGCCAATGCGCTATCTGGGGCGCAGATCAGGCCCCAGAGCGCTCCAAGCGGAGAGCCGTCGCCACGAGGCTGGCAAGGTTTGCAAGGAAGGGGTCCCGTGCCTCCACTAGGGTTCGAAGCAACGCCCGCGCACGGCATAAAGCCTGAAACGGGCACCATGTGATTCGTTCTAGGAAGGCGGAGGCCATGGCACGCACAGCGCTCACACTGGGCGCGCCGAAGACAACAAACATTGCGACGCATGACAGGATGGGCTCAGCAAAGACGTTCCAAGCCAGGATGCGCGTGGCAAGGCTGGTGCGAGTTCGACGGAGCAAGCGCAAGCGCTCTCGCAGCTTGTCCAAAAGGCCACGCATCATGTCCTCAAGAGTAGCATCTGGGCCGAACCAGAAGCCGAGGGACTTATGTTTAGTGACCACGCGTGCGTCCGGCCATACTGAAAGGAGGCTGGCGTTCTCCCCCTCCGTGAGAGGGCGGTTGGGAATCCAAGCGGTCTTTCGCCGATTGAAGGCGGCAATCAAGTGAACAACGGGCAGAAGAGCGCTGGACACGGCCACGTCAAGTTCCCCGTCGTCGCAGAACCCCCAAACCCCAGTAACACCGACGAGGCGCGATGCCTGGAAGAGGAGATAGTGGGGGGGCGACGAAGAGGATAAAAAGATAGCCGAGAGGGAAGATGAGCATTAGCTGGCGGAGTAGGAGGGGGAGTAGGAGGGGAAATGGGCTAGGGGGAAAAGGAGGACGAGGAGAGGGGAATCACGTGCCAACCGCGCAATTTCCTTCGGATCGAACCTGGTTCTAGCAACTGCACGCCGCGATGGAATGAGGGTTTGTGTGAGATCCGACGAGGGCCAGGCATCTGAACCACGCATGCTTTGAAGGGTGCCCAGAGGAGGAGGAGGAGGAGGAGGAGGAGGAGGAGGAGGAGGAGGAGGAGGAGGAGGAGGAGGAGGAGAGGGAACAGTTTCCGTAACCATTTTGGCTCAAGGTGTCTCCGCCCGAACGATTGGGGGCGCGTCATCCCCCTCAGTTCGCGGCGGCGCCTAGGCGCGGCGCAGACGCCATGGCGCCCGCAGTCCCTCCGGTCCCGCCCGCGCCTTTCTCCGCTGTAGGTGATATCATGAACGCGTGCGCCAAGGCCACGGGGGGCTGCCCGAGTGTGAGGCGGCCCGATGCGTACACATCGTTCCCATCTCTCCCGTCAAAAAACATCAAGTCATCAAAATCGAACAGCATGATGCGGACCCTGGAGGTCCAATCGCTGGGGCCCACGGCTGCCCGGAGGGCGGCCAGAGCCAGAAGAACCGAGGTTGCCGAGGCAGCAATCAGGAAACGCATCGTGCCAGAGACCGATCGCCCGATCATCGAGACCAGGTACATCGCTGTGGGGGTTGGCAACCACGGTGCCCTTGCCCATGCCACCCTCAACCCGTACGCGAAGATTGTCAACGAACACCAGAAGGGAAAGTATCGGAGTCTTGCGCGTAGCTCCACCGTGGCCTTGCCTAGCGAGGAAGAGTACAACGATCATCCATACTTTGCTGACCCCAGCGCTGCCTTGCCTGCCGAGGAGGGCAATTTCGACATCCCGCAGGAGCCAGCTAACCAGAACAAGTCAGATGACATGCCCTTCGTGCGCAGAGTGCATTTGCGGCACCGTCGTTGTTTGCAAGAAGCAGTACAATTTCCCTTCAGCGAGCAACGCCAGACCAGCCAACCTCGCTCAGAATTATGTGAGAAAAACCGTCAGCTACGCCGAGAACGACCGTAGGTTGGAGGTACAGGAGAGCGGGGGCCCAGCTCACCGCCCCGTTGCCGAGGTCATTCCCCCCCCAGACGGAGGAGGAGGGGGGCCGGCAGCTGGCAGGAGCGACGGCCCGTCCTCCACTGCCTCTGCTGGGACGCATGCAGCGTCCGCGGCTCCGTCGTCACCGTCACAATCGGCGCGGCCAGGGAGACCACCAGCCACCGGTGCCAGCGACGGCCAGGAGGACAACTACGAGGACCCTGCTGCCGACGGCTTCAAAGCCGACAACTACAGGATTGTGTCAACTGTGCCAGCTTCGAGATAGCCTCCTACCGGCAGTTCGCGAGGGCGCGGGGACAACGAGGGCTCCTCCCTGGACAGGTCACCTCCGCTTGGAACGCCTTCCACAAACAAGAGAAGGCGCGATGAATGCCCAAAAGCCTCGAGGACGTTTAGATGGCGGTCGGCGACAACAGCTGGGACGACCGATCCGCGCCCACCTTTATCCGCAGACCATGGGAGATATTTGAAGACCACGTCGACTAGATCCTCGACGCAGCTTCCGAGGATCTCGACAAGGACACCACTCTGAGCACCCGAGAAGACCCAGCTTACGCCTCACACTTTAGCCAGGGCGCCCAGCGCCGACGTGAGGGTTGGTCGTGAATTGGATTGGGTGGGAGTTGGGATACGCAAGAGCGGGCGTGGCCGGATTGGGATTGGGAGCATGTCGCGCCATCGCCCCAGGCGCGTGCCAAGCGTCAGCCCGCGCCGACGCCAATTGCGCGCCGTCTTTCCGACAGCAGCTACCCCCCTTGCCTCGCCATCGACCTGCCCCGCGCCTGCGCCGCGGCCCCTCGGCATGAAGACGGCGGCGGGGCCATCAGAAGCCCCCAGGAGCCGAAAAGAAATTCGAGAGCAAGCCAACTGCAGCGAGAGGCCCTGGGAACCCGAACTGTCGCCTTTTGCCCCCGCGTGCCCCTGCAAACGGCAGAGCCGCAGGCTCAGAACGCCCCCCCCCCCCGCCGCGTGTTTTCCTAACCGCCTGATTATTTCCCAAACGCCCTAGGTCGGACCCTGGCGACGCGCCCCCGTGGACTCAACCCGACCTGAGGCAACCAGTTCATCAGGCCAGCCGCCTCAGCGCCGAGCCCGCGCTTCGGGGCGCCGCGCCATGGGGCAGAGGGAGGGGGATCGCGACGACGAGGACGACGATGACGACGGCGGGGGGGGGTCCAGACGCAGCAGGCAGCAATGTGTATGGTTTTTCCGGATGAGCCCCCCCCCGAGTCACGCGGGCTCGGGGCTGGGAAGGTGCGCAGGCTTCATCCATAGGATAGACCGCCTTGAAAGAAAACAGGAGGAACCAGATGACGAGTGCGATGATGAGGAGGGGGAGGAGGAGAAGGACGGAGGCAAGACGAGGACGAAGACGAGTCGGGTAAGGACGATGGCGAGGAGGAGCTAGATGCCGACGAGGTGACAAAGGAATGAGGCAACGAGGACGACGTGTAGAAGGACGAGAGAGTGGAACAGGAGGAAGAGGATGAGGACACATCGCCACATCAAGGAGAACCGCTGCCGAAGGGACCGCCGCCGACGGCGACGGCGATCACGGCTACGACGGCTCGACGGCGACGGTGACGGTTACGAAAACAAGGAGGATTGCCGCGGGTTTGCTGAGCAGTTTTCTAAGCCTTCGCCGAATACGCAGAACAGTTCTCATAATTGCCGTTTCCGATTGGTTTGTCGGGCGGCGCCCATTGCCATTTCCGATGGGTTGTTGATTATTCGGCGGTCGTCGGGCGGCGCCCATGGCCGCTTCCGATGGGATTTTGATTATTCGGCGGTCGTCGGGCGGCGCCCTTCTGGCCGTTTCGCATTGGTTTTTGATTATTCGGCAGTTGTCGGGCGGCGCCCTGGCCATTTTCAAATGGTTTTTGATTATTCGGCGGTTGTCGGGCGGCGCCCATGGCCGTTTCCGATTGGATTTTGATTATTCGGCGGTTGTCGGGCAGCGCCCATGGCCGATTCGGATTGTTTTTTGATTATTCGGCGGTTGTCGGGCAGCACCCATGGCCGTATCTTAAATTGGTGTTTGGTTATTTGGGGGTTATCGGGCGGCGCCCATGGTCGTTTCCCATTGGTTTTTGATTATTTGGCGGTTGTCGGGTGGCGCCCTGGCCGTTTCCCATTGTTTTTTTATTATTTGGCGGTTGTCGGACGGCGCCCATGGCCGTTCCACATGGATGTTTTATTATTCGGCGGTTGTCGGGCGGCGCCCATGGCCGTTCCGTATCGGTTTTGATTATTCGGCGGTTGTCGGGCGGCGCTTTGGACGTTTCCGATTGGTCTTTGGTCATTCGGCGGTTTTCGGGCGGCGCCTTGGCATCGGTTTTTGATTATTCGGCGGTCGTCGGGCGGCGCCCATGGCCCTTCCGCATGGGTTTTTGTATTATTCGGCAGTTGTCGGGCGGCGCCCACGGCCGTTTCGTATCGGTTTTTGGTCATTCGGCGGTTGTCGGGCGGCGCCCTGGACGTTCGGCGGTTGTCGGGCGGCGCCCTGGCCGTGGTTTTTGATTATTCGGCGGTTGTCGGGCGGCGCCCTTCTGGCCGTTTCCCAATATTGGTTTGATTATTCGGCGGTTGTCGGGCGGCGCCCATGGCCGTTTCCGATTGGATTTTGATTATTCGGCGGTTGTCGGGCGGCGCCCCTGACCGTTTCCGATTGTTTTTTGATTATTCGGCGGTTGTCGTGTTGCTCCCTGGCCGTTTCCCATTGGGCCTTTGTGCGCGTCCATGTTTTTCAAGTCAAAAAATGTATTATGGCGCGCGCGCAGTTGCTCATCGGAGGCAGTGAGCGACCTTGTTGCTTCATCGTCCGCGCACGGGTTTATTATGATTGTAGTGGCCTCCGCCAGTGCCGCCGATCCGGGGCGCTCCGCAAGATGATGATCAGGATGATGCTGCAGGGGAGCGGGCAGGGGAGGGGGTCTGCTCTGCAGGGGGAGTCCGCTCGGCAGAGGGAGGGACTGCAGGGGGGAGGGGTGGTCCGCTCTGAAGGAGGGGGGGGCTGCAGGAGAGGAAGTCTGCTCTCCAGGGGGGGAGGGGCAGGGGAGGGGGGAGCGTCCGCTGCAGGGGGGGGCTGCACGGAGCGGGGTCGCTCTGCAGCGGGGGGGGCTGGGCTGCAGGGGGGGGAGGGGGAGCGGTCCGCTCTGCAGGGGAGGGGGGTCCGCTCTGGGAGGAGGGGGGGCTGCAGGAGGGCGGGTTGCTCTGCAGAATGGGGGGGGGAGAGAGGGGGGGAGCAGGGGAGGAGAGGGGGATCCGCTCTGCAGGGGGGGGGGAGGCTGCAGGGAGGAGGTCCGCTCTGCAGGGGGGGGGGTGCTCTGCAGAGGGGGGGTTCAGGGGGAGGGGGGGGTCGCTCTGCAGTGGGGCGGGGGGGCTACAGGGGCGAGGTCCGCTCTGCAGGGGGGGGGGCTGGGCTGCAGGAAGCGGGAGGGGGCGTTCTGCAGGGGATGGGGGGCTCGCTCTGGGAGGGATGGGGGGGGACCAAGCACTGAATTAGGTCGGAATTAGGTCGGAATTAGGTCGGAAATGAGCCCCCCCCCCGCAAAGCGAGGCTTGAGCGAGCTCAAGCCCACGCTCTCAGAAACTCACACGCCGGATCGGCGGATTTGTCTTGGGGCATGTTTCTTCCAAAAGTCGTATGTTTTCCAGCGCGCGCGCGGGAGATGCGAGTTCTCCTAGTCCGCGGCCGTTTATAATAAAAATCCAATGTAATAAAAATCCCATGAAGTGAAAACCTCCCTGTAGGGCTTCTGAGAAGCTCCGCCGCCCAAAGGCTTCCTCCTCACTTCTCTCCAGGGCTCGCCGCCAAGATGAGGGCGATGGCGAGGAGGACGAAGGCAAGCACGAGGACGAGCAGAAGGCGGAGCAGGGCCACGTGGACGAAGACGATATGGAGGGGGCCGCAGGGGGAGCAGGAGGCCGCCGACGACGGCAACGACGGCATCGGATTCCACCGCTCGTCCTCCTCTGCCTCCACGCGCCTCTTCCTCCGCACTGTGCAGCAGAAGGAACGCAAACATGGATTGAGGCGTGGTTCAGGGACGGGTCCCCGCTCCCGTGGCGCGCTCCATCGCCAGCTTGGGCAGCACTGGCCTCATGTTTCGGCGGCGCGTTCCCCGGTCCGTGGACTTGGCGCCCACGCGCCAGATCCACGGATCCCCAATCCACGTCGGCGTGCGCCCGCGGGCTTTGGAAGCGACAGGGCCTTCATTCGACCGTTTCCGTGCTACGTTTGCTTACCGTCGTTGGCGCTTGTTTTCTGACGCTTCCGGCGCTATTGCTTCACCGTTTTCGTTTCCCTTGATGGGGGCCCCTTGTCCAGATTTGTTAATATCGCTTACGGATCAGAGCCGCTTATATCCGCAAACAGTGCTTGCGTTTAGGGATTATTATTTGGGATTTGAGTGAAATGAGCTCCGGTGCGGGTACAGCCAGCTCGTTGCCGCCCGTCGCCGCCGTCGCCGTTGGGCCATGGTGCTGGTCCAGCCGGTTCGTCGCCGCCCGTCGCCGCCGTCGCCGCTGGCCATCGGCTTGCATTGTATCGCGTTGCGTTGTTTTGCATTGCTTTGCATTGTGTTGCGTTACTTTGCAATGCCACTGACCAACGTATTGCGTTGCAGCGAGTTGTTGTGCATTGCCTTGCGCCACATAGATTTGTCACGATTGCACCACCCGGATTGCTCCACGTTGATTGCGCCACCCAAGTTGCGCCGCAGAAGTTGCAAGAAACCGCTGTTTGAGGCCCGCACCGGCTAACGTTCGAAGCGCCTCGGCGATCGGCTCTTTGCCGCTTTCATGGTCACGAGGCAGTGCTTTGAAGACGGTAGAAGACGGGGGGGGGCCCTCGCCGGGCCCCGGGGCCGCAGGCCGGATCCCCTCGGCCAGAGCCCCTCGGCCAGAGCGTCAGTTCGTGGTTGAGGAGGAGGAGGAGGAGGAGGAGGAGGAGGAGGAGGAGGAGGAGGAGGAGGAGGAGGAGGAGGAGGAGGAGGAGGGAGGAGGAGGAGGAGGAGGAGGAGGAGGAGAGGAGGAGGAGGAGGAGGAGGAGGAGGAGGAGGAGGAGGGAGGAGGAGGAGGAGGAGGAGGAGGAGGAGGAGGAGGAGGAGGAGGAGGAGGAGGAGGAGGGGAGGAGGAGGAGGAGGAGGAGAGGAGAGGAGGAGGAGGAGGAGGAGGAGGAGGAGGAAGGAGGAGGAGAGGAGGAGGAGGAGAGGAGGAGGAGGAGGAGGAGGAGGAGGAGGAGGAGGAGGAGGAGGAGGAGGAGGAGGAGGAGGAGGAGGAGGAGGAGGAGGAGGAGGAGGAGGAGGAGGGAGGAGGAGGAGGAGGAGGAGGAGGAGGAGGAGGAGGAGGAGGAGGAGGAGGAGGAGGAGGAGGAGGAGGAGGAGGAGGAGGGAGGAGGGAGGAGGAGGAGGAGGAGGAGGAGGAGGAGGAGGAGAGGAGGAGGAGGAGGAGGAGGGAGGGAGGAGGAGGAGGGAGGAGGAGGATGGGAGGAGGAGGAGGAGGAGGAGGGCCCACGGAGCGCCAGGCCGAGGACGACGGCGGCGGCGGCGGCCCCGGCGGCGGCGGCCCTGCGCAGGCCACACGACGCGGCAGGGCGCCCCGAGGCGTGCGACCTCGAGCCAGTCACGGCCGGGGCCCCGCGGCCGCGGCGCCCGCGCGCGGGGCGGGGCGGCTCCCGAGCAGAGGCCAACGTCGGTCGGGGCTCGTCGTCGTCGTCGTCGTCGTCGTCGTCGTCGACGTCGTCGTCGTCGGAGGAGGAGGAGGAGGAGGAGGAAGAGGAGGAGGAAGAGGAGGATCAGGAGGAGGAGGAAGAGGAGGAGGAGGAGGCTTGTTTCCTTGCTTGCCCCATCGCGCGCGTCGGGTTCCTCGCCCCCCCTCCCGTGCAAACCATTATCCCCACGAGTTGTTGTGTTTTTATCTCCAGCGCGGATTGTTCGAAGCACCTCGGCCCGACCGAGCCCGCGAACCAGCGAGCGATCTGCAGGTGTTTCCGCGTGCAGGTGGCCAGGCCATCCGCTCGCCGTGGTTGATCAGCCAGGACCGCTTATCCTGGTTACGCTCGAGGAGGAGGCTTGTTTCACCCAAGGAAGGTGTGGCCCTCTGCCGCGATCGCTGCCTCATCGCGTCTCTCTGCTGCCACTCTCTGTCTTAGCCTAGATTGGGCTTCAGACTCAGCATTTAGTGGCCGACCGACCGAGGAGGAGGTATCCATACCGCTGCTCGTCCAGGAGGTGGTCTGAATTATAGTAGCGGGTCTGGTGCAGCTGGGTCGGCGGCGAGAGGTGCAATCGTTCATCAGTTGTGTGCTATCGCGCGCAACATGACGCGAACCATTGCACGCACGACAGCGACTGCACATGCAACATATCCGTACACATGTGCATCCCGGCACAAGTGTTGCATCAAGCGCCCAAATTATTGTTCCAGGCGCCGGCTATTGCAAGTGCCCTTGCACCTCTCTCGTTGGCCCACCTGCGCCAGAGTCGACCCAGCATTTCGGCGTAGAGGAGGTACCAACACCGCTGCTCGTCCTGGAGAGCTCTTGCCGCCACGAGCGGACTCTCCTCGGAGTTCTGGTCAGACACTCGCCTCGGGAAAGGAATCCAAGGAGGTCAGCGGCTTCGGCGCCGTTCTGCTCGCCCAGTTTGGGTTCGAGGCGCCGCATCGCAGCCGTCGGCAAGTCCGCCGGGCAAGGGCGCGGAGGGCGAGGAGGACGCCGACGCGGGCCAGGGGGCCAGGGGGCCGAGGGCGGCGCGTTCGCACACGTGGCTTGGATTCACAGTTCACGCAGAGGTTTCGTGATTTGACAGAGGGAGGTCTTTGGTTTTGGAGTCCCCCCCTTCTGTTCTTCTCGGCGGGGAATATACTCGCGACTCCTCCGCTCCTCCTCCTCCTCCTCCTCCTCCTCCTCCTCCTCCTCCTCCTCCTCCTCCTCCTCCTCCCTCCTCCTCTCCCACCTCCTCCTCCTTCCTCCTCTCCTCCTCCTCCTCCTCCCCCTCCTCCTCCCTCCTCCTCCTCCTCCTCTCCTCCTCCTCCTCCTCCTCCTCTCCTCCTCCTCCTCTCTCCTCCTCCTCTCCTCCCTCCTCCTCCTCACAGTGGAATGAACTGAATGGGTGAGAGCGAGCGAGCGAGCTCCTTCTCCTGCTCCTCCTCCTCCTCCTCCTCCTCCTCCTCCTCCTCCTCCTCCTGCTTCTCCTCCTCCGGCTCCTCCTCCTCCTAGCCGGCGCGGAGCCCGAGGGGGCCCGTGGTGGGGTGCATTTTGCAGCAGCGCAGCCCCGCCGAGCCGTGGCCGCCGCAAAAACATGAGGCTGCTCCTGCCCTGCAGAGTCCTCGGCGAGCACCTTCGTCGGGGAGCGGCTCGGGAGGATCAGCCGAGACTTCGAGATCCAGCGCCCGCAAGGGCACCTGATCGTCGAGGCCTGTGATGTCGTTTGGTCGTGCGAAGCGGCCGTGGGTACAACACCATTTCGATCAGATGACCCTTGAGACGTACCAGCGCGAGCTCCAGGAGGAGCAGCGGAACGCCAACAGAGAGGCGTTCGTGGCCAGGAAGGCGCCTCGGCCTTTGGAGACCTCTTGAGCGCCCAGCCTCCAGACGAACGCCGAGAGCAAACCGGAAGAACAGACACCCAAGCATCTGTGTGCTGGACTGGAAGTGCGAGCAGTACGCGCACACGATGCTCGGGTTCAGGACTATGTGCCAGGTCTGCTCGGCGCCGCCGCCAGTGGCCACAGTGGTGCTGCAGCAGGAGGCCGCCAAGCAGGAGGAGACGGCGATGGCCAGCTCGAGCAAGGAGGTCCGATCGGGCACGGCGCCGTCGGACTTCTTCCAGGGCACGGTGGAGGAGGAGGTCTCGACGGTGGGTGCGGTCCAGACGCTCGTGGAGGCGGGCGCCAAGGCAGCCATTCGGGACCTGTACATGGAGCACGAGACTATGCAGGAGGCGCCGCGGGATGTCCTCACTCCCTCAGCGGGGTCTCCGCGGCAGAACAGGTGGACAGACTCGGAGAACCAGCGCAGGGAGAAGGTTGTGTGGGGAGCTGATCAGTGCGGTGGACAGGGAGATCTCGGCGCGGGCTGGCCTAACGTCAGCGAGCTGCGCCAGGTCGGGTGCTACGACAGAGGATACGGTGACGTCGAGCACCAGACGTACCAGAACAAGTTCCTAGATCTTCGCTAACTGGAGGCGGGTGGCAGTTTGCGGTGATCAAGCTTTCGACGAGGGCCCCGAGGCCCTGAGTTACGACATGGCGACCAAAGTGAACGAGAACATTTCTGCAGGCGATTCCGCCTCGGATGGTCTTCCTCTCCACGACGGTGATTCTGCGGACAACGGTCCGCTGGTCGTCGGTAGCGGCTTCCAGCTCGACTTGTCTCAAGATCCTATGGCCGATTGTGGCCCTGAGCCCAATCAATTCTTTACGATTCGCGTATCCCCACCAGTGTTTATGGTCGCGCCGCCGCGCCATTTTGGCTGCGCTTACTTGCTGGTCGCTACCGGGATTTCCAACGCCACTGGGTTTGGGAGTATCGGTTCTGGCTCTCCTTCTGGGTGGTTGCCCGCTCGCTCGCTTCGCTTGTCTTTCTTTTCCTGCTGCCTAGTCGCGGCCCGACTAGTGTTCGGACGGCTTTCAACCCGCCTCGCGAGCCTGTTGACCAAAAAGTATCCCCACCAGCCCTTTCAGGAACCCTGCCCTTCAGAGCTGACGGGAAAAGGGACGAAGAGACACATCCAGGGAAACAAAGTGAGCAAGGGGGTGGCCTTGGAAGGCCTCTTCGGGCCATCCCTGGGCGTCGCGTGGGGGCGGGGGGAAGAGGAGGAGGAGGAGGAGGAAGAGGAGGAGGAGGAGGATACGTATGAGGATCACGAGGACGGATGAGGACGAGGACGAGGAGAACGAGGACTAGGATGAGGACGGCGCGGACGAGGACTCATGGAACCAGCTAGAGGTATTATTGCGGTTGCTGCTGCTGCTGCTTTCTGGGAGTTTTTTGGGGGGGGGGCCTCTTGGAATCCTCTTGGTACCCCTGGAAGGCTTCTTGGAATCATCTTGGGCGCCCTCGATTACACGATGGGGGGGTCCTCAACTCAGCTCCCCCCTCAGGAGCCGGCAAACCGCTTTTTGGGGCTCCCTTGGAGCTCTCTTGGACCGGTCTTGGGGCAGTTTGGAGCATCTTGGGAGCCATCTTGAGCCAGCTTGGGCTATCTGGGCCATCGTAGAGGTCATCCTAGGCTCTCTGAGGCCGCTCGGGGGGAGGGTGCGCCGCTGGATCTCCCCCCTTCCCCGATCCGTCGTCGGGAAACCCCTCCTCCCCTCCCCTCCTTTCCCCGATCCGTCGTCGGGGACCCCCCCCCTCCCCTCCCCCCCTTTCACAAGGGGGGGGTCCGAGCCCCCCCCCCCTCCCCCCCTTTCGCCACGCCGCCCCGTGACTCCGGAACCCGACCCCCGCCACCCCTACCCCTAGTCCTCACCCTAACCCAAACCCCTAATCCGAACCCCAACCACTAACCCCAGCCCCAAAGAGTATGCACTACTCATTACTCACTACCCACTACTGACTACTCGCTATTCGCTACTCACTTCTCACTACCCCCGACTCACTACTCACGACTCACTACTCACCATCCACTACTCACTACCCACCACCCACTACTCGCTACTCACTACTCCCTACTCACTACTCCCTCCTCCCTACTCACTACTCACTCCTCACTACCCACTACTCAATACTCACTACTCTCTAAGCACCACTCCCTACTCACTACTCATCACCCACTATTCACTACTCACTACTCACTACTAAGTACTCATTGCCCACTACTCACTACCCACTACTCGCTACTCCCTACTCCCTACACAATATTGACTACACAGTACTCAGTACTCACTACTCGCTACTCCCTACTCCCTAGACAATACTGACTACACAGTACTGAGTACTCACTACTCGCTACCCCCATACTCGCTACTCAATACTCGCTTTTCACTCCCGTTATTCGCTATTCACTACTCACTACCTACTACTCCCTACTCACTAGTCACTACATAGTCTCTAGTCACTTTTCACATCTCACTAGTCATTAGTCACGACTCACCACCCACTACCCACTACTCACCAATCGCTACTCACTACCCACTATTCGCTACCCACTTCTGACTATTCACTGCTCACTACTCCCTACTCGCTACTCACTACTCGTTACTCCCTACTCGTTACTCACAAATCACTAACCCCTACTCACTACTGACTACCCTCTACTCACTACCCACTACGCCCTACTCGCTCCTCGCTACTCACTACTCGCTACTCACTACTCACTACCCCACTGCCACTACCCACTACTCTCTGTTTATCACTACTCACTACTCACTACTACTCAGTACTCACTACTCACGACTTACTACTCGCTACTCACTACGCACTACCCACTACTCACTCCTCCCTAACCACTACTCGCCACCCACTACTCACTACCCACTACTCACTACCCACTTCTCATTACTCCCTACTCCTTACTCAGTACTCACTACTCGCTACTCGCTATTCACTACTCACTACTCACTACTCGCCATTCACTACTCCCTCATCAGTACACACTACTCACTATTCACTACCCACTACTCC